ACCACAAAGGTTTTGTTCAACTGCCACATGATGAGTGCCCTTTATTTTTTCTGGACACTGTCGGGAAAGCGCTAGCTGCCTTGCTGGAATTCCCACAGACAAGCCAGAGGTACTCAGCTTCTCTGATTCACAATCATCTCATCTCCAAATAAAAGACCTGGAGCAGCTGAGGCATGCAAGGCTGTGACAAAACTGCCACCTTAGGAAAGGACAGAAGCCTTGAACTTAAGTCTTGACGTTAATGTTAAAAGGGCGTAGAAAGGTTTCTTAGAGCTCTACAAATAAGAGACAAATCTGAACCTTCATTTTTCTAGCTTTCCTTTTGTATTGAAGCACAAATCTTAATTTGAAATAGAAAAAAATTCCTAAAAGTTTTTCTACCAGTACTCCATTTAACTTCATATGCTTGTGCACACATGTATCAAACAGGTTTTTTATATATACACAAAGAAGTGACTGAAACATCTGGCATGGCACAGGTACACATTAACATATGAAGATATGCATATATTATAACATATAAAGATATGCATACATTATGAACAAATGTAAGCTAATTAGGCCTCCAATGATATAAACATAATACATGCCATTAATGCAAACAGAGCCCATGCCAGACTTTGTTTCCTAAAACTAAGTATGTGCCCAAGACAACACTGGAGAAATTGCATTAGTCTTAGGTAAAATTACAAGGACAGTAATCAGTTGGTTTGCAATGCCAAGTCAAATTCATTTGAATCAAAAAAGATTCACATTAACTGACAACATAAAACCAAGCATTTTATCAACATGCTTTGAGTGCTGTAAACCTGTTTGTTTGCATTTTAAAACACAGAAATTCATCAGTTTCAGGAATTTTTGGTTCCATCTAAAATAAAGAGGGATGAAATTTAATCTAAAGTTCCTTTCCAGCCTTATGTTTCAGAGTAACTGTTGAGATCACTCCAGTATGTTTTTAAAATGGATCACTACATCTGTGTATCTACTATTAGAAACCACAAACAAGTGCATGTTTTAAAATACCTAAAATTTGACTTCCCTTAGAAATTAATGGGGGGGAAAAAGCAAGAAATAAAATTATTAATGCCAGCGTGGTATACACAGCCATATTTATTAGTTCACTTCCAATTACATGAAGAGAAAGCTGAAGCCATACACAAGTGCTGCATTAAAATAAAGACAGACTACTGTTTTCTCCAACAGTTTTATTTCAAAAAGTACACAAGTCTGTCATGGAACTACAGCATTTCAAAGTTTTGGATTTTGTTTTTACAAATTCACTCACAATACTTGTATTTTAAAATACCATTGCCCCAAAAGTGTGAATATAAAACCTCATACTGAAATTCATATCAATATTCAAGTCCATGCTTTGTGCATGAGAAGCGTAACGTATCATCGTAACATTTTGGATTCCAGGAAATATTATTGCTCCAATTTTAATTGAGCTGTGCCTCAATGCTAGAGGACCAATAACCAAAGGGTCCCATAAAGCACCTATCAAGTGTATAAAACAAGGTTTAAGTGACACAAATAGTATTATGTCTTCAGACTGGAACAAAGATCTAAAGTGATCCAGAATATACACTGTTAAGAACAAAACCAAAAGCCTATCATGGAAACCAGTAATACACAATATTCAGCATTACAAAAAACTTGCCATTAAGAAGTCTTACTTGTACTATTAAGCAGGAAGCATACATCTAACATGAATGTGACTACCAGAGTTGATAAAGATGTATGCATTGTGCATTTCTTTCAAAAGTCATTTTTACCCCGGCAACAAGGCATTTCTGTGCACTACACAGTTTTGGAAGAAGTGTTCATTTTTAGGTAAGGAAGTTTCACACAAATGTCTTTAAATATCCATTTCGGAAAGTTTATGAAAATGCTTGTAATGTATGGACAAGTGTTACGTAACCCCTACAGTATTACAAGTCTAACACTTTATTCACACCATGCTAAAATTGAGGTTTTTCTTCTATATATAGTAGTCCTCAACAGGCAAGTTTACAGTCATGACATTAACTAGAGGTTTCTTGAGTTCACTTAGAGTATTTACATAATGGTACCACCCCCCCCCCCATTTTTAAATAAAATGAGACATTAAAAATGCCACCTTCTAACTGGTATATCAGCTGCCATTACTTCCTAGAAGAGTTCTGTTAGCAGAGTTATCTGTAAGATCAGACACCTCACGTGTTTAACCAGTTCATCTCCTACACAGCTAGAAATCGTTGCTAAACTATAGTAGCTTTCGAGAATCATAATCCAGTGTAAGTGAACAATCTATTGACTAAATAAGTAATTTATAATAGCAATATTATGTTTTCATAGTAGTGTTGTATCCATTCAAAAAGGCATGATGATGCCTTACCAACTTGAGGCAAAGTTTACCCCAAGTCAGAGGTTCTTTATTTCAGATAAGGACTGTGTCAGATTCTATTTCTTTTATTTTCCATGAAATTACATAAATAGACAGACACTGTCAAGGCTGCTAAGCCTAACAGCTAGGCTCTGAGGGCACATCACACTGTCCTTCTGTTCTGTCCATTTATTATTTTGTACAAGCTGACAGAGCATTAAGCATGTGTAAACTCTACTCTGTATGCTTTAGTGAGAAAAGTTTCTGTTCTTGAGTGTCCTAGGGCTTACCTGACTGAAAGCAACAGGGTCTCAGGCCAAACCAAAAAACAAAACCAAAAGCAAACAAACAAAACCCAAACCCCACATCTAATCTCACATATGTCCACAGATGGCTAAGAACCAAATTCAGTAGGTTTGTTGCCTGGTTGCTTAGGTTTATAGCTATCTCTCAGCCTGTGATTCAGTTTAGTTTTGTACTCAACTTGTATTTATAATAAATATACCCTTTTAATTAAGGAAGGCCTTAGTTTCAAGGTAAACAATCAGTGTATGATTAAAATGTCGGAAGTCTCTTCTATCACAATAGTTGGATGCAAGAAGATGTCTCCTCATCTATTGTTCTTCATACGCATATGTTTGGCACAGTTACTAAACCTATTATTTACCACACAAGTAAAAGTCAATCATCCATCTCACTGGTACAACAACCGAACAGTTTTCAGGAATATAAACATTTAGATCATAATTAGCAATTGAAGGAGTAACTGACATTTTGAAATACAGAACAATACAGAGAGAGCCACTGAAGTCACATCCAAAACAGGCATGAAGAGGTATAAATAGTACATAAGAATCAAGAAATCAGATCACAGTGTCGTGTTTTAAGAACTGTACCGTCATCTAAGCACCTGTTCAAACAGTAAATTTAGGCACCAGAAATTTCATAAAAACTGAAGTTACAATCAGGCAAAGTTTATTGAAAAGGCACACATGAAAGATAAAAAAACTGATCTCTAACAGTATCAGTTTACAATCTAAAAAAGTCCCAAATGTGTAAAACTAAGTCTAGAATACTTAATAGCCATTCAAGTTTCTAAATTCAGTATGAAGGGTATGTTCTTTACATTAATAGTGCCAGCCAAAAATTGTGCACCTAACTACAGACAGGACAATATTTAGTAGTAAGCCAAAGAATTTATCACAGATCTATAAGCAGCTACAAAAAAGCAGACACTAAACCTAGAAGTTTGGGGAAATGTTTTCTCTCACACTGTTGCAACATACAAATAATCCTAACATCTTTCAACAGGCTATTCAGATATTTCCTTCATCAACATCAGTGCCACATACTATATGCCTTTAGAGTTTTCCAAAATACCTTGCAGTTCAACATCTATAGCTAGAACAAGCTGAAGGGACTCCCCCTCTCGCCCCCAGCACAGGATGAGGAAGAAAGTTGAAAATAGGAAGAAAGAAAAAAATCTACAAAGATTCAAACTGCACTAAGCTTTAAATCCAGCTTCCACAGGTATATAATATCAGTCATCAGAAGCTATCAAAAGTCCTTAAGTATGTGTGAAAGTAAGATAAGGAATTGTTCTGTTCCTCCTGTAATGCTTTAAGTTTGCAAATCTGGGAAGAAGTGTTTTTAATCTTGAAACATGAGATTTGTTTCAACAATTCTGGATAACTATTTCCTCTCAGATTCTGGCTGCATGAAACTCTTGCTCTTAAAAGTCTAAATGTCTGTTAATAAGAATATTTAGGGTTTTTGAAGAAGCAAGGAGAAATGAGCTCTAAACTCCTTGCAAATTCATACAGAAAGACATTAGCATCTTAAGTAAAGGTTAACTACTGCCTACATGTATATGGGAAAAGATGTTTCCAAAGTGATGCTAGAGCAAGAGGACAGATACCAAATACCAGTTACCTAACAGCTTTCATTAAAAGCCCATGGAGCTTCTAGGTAATCAGTTTGGAAAAAAAGTAAGAGCGCTGCCTTAGAATCTAAACAGGCTTTGGAAAATGCAAGGTACAACTAACTTAAGACCTGTATAGAGATACATATTCATTCTTACTGTGACAGTAACAGTTGATCTATAGTTTTTAAAGCTTAGATACCACTACCCACAACCTGATAGGACCTCTTGCATCAGATAACTTAATACTTATGTTATCTGACATGACTAGAACTAGTTATTACATAAAAATTCATGTTTCAAAGAGCTTGCAAGGTCTCCTGTCACATTTCCACTCACTGAAATTTTAAATTCAGAATAGATTCATTAAATTAATTGAACCAATAACTGGTAGCCCCCAAAATAAGAGCTCAAGAAGTGCTCCAAACAAACATTACCAGGTTAAAGAACTGCATAAATACTCAGAGTTTGAACAGAATTCGAAGTCATCCTCGGTATTCCAGCCCCCTGCAACTACATCAGACAATGGCCAAATTAAAATATTTCTGTTATTCCAAAATTGAGGATAAAGTTTCAGGAACTCTGAGAAACTTCATGGTCTACATATGAAATGCTTTTGTTACTTCTCACTTGTGTCTTGCTGTTACATATTCAGAACTGCACATCAGCTGACATTGTCTCTTCAGCAACCTACCAGAGGTCCAAATACCTTCAGTGTCCGATAGTTATTTAGGAACTTCAATGCTTTTAGCAAACAGTTCAACTGTCATATACTAATAAGTTTAAAATTAAAAATAAGAATTGGTGGCTTTTCAAACTTGTTCATTTTCTTCACGGAAAATTGCATGCCATTGTTTAAATGAGGGATGGAACACAGTAGTTTTCTCTAATACTTACAATGAACACCTAAAAACAGCATTTAAATTAATAATATTTTATACTATGGACCCATCTTTGCTTTGTGCTGGAATCATCACAGGAACAGCTCCCATTCTACTTAAATTAGGTGCAGCTACCTTTGAAGGTGCAAAAGTTGGGTTTTGACCAGGAGTACGTTCAAAGTCTTCACTTGGGACTTGGCTATATGGAGTTTTGGTATATCCTTCCATATTTGAGGGAGACATTGAACCCAGAGAAGAACGATTGCTGCCTATATAGCTGCGGGCTGTTGAACTGCGACTTTTTGGAGGTGGAACATCTTCTCTGAAATAAACAAAAGAACAGTTGCAGAACAAGAGTTCAGTCACTGTTACTATGTGGGAGCTTCCAAAACAAATTTTCAGTTTGTTTCTTTCTGTTCTAACACAGTAGCCAAAAGAGGCTCACATATTACTTCAAGTTAAAAAAAAATTCAAGTATTCATTGCCTTTAAAATCTTTACTGAAATTAGACATGATTATCTACACCGTATTAAAAACAAAAAGTTCTCTGACAAGCTGTTAGTATGTTAATAAGCTTTCCAGATTAAGACAAAAATCTCAACTGTTAAGTATCTTACTTGCAGAAATACACATTTAAAAGTTAATCTTCAAATAATACTGCTCAGAAATTATCGTTACCTAATATCATGATGTACTTCTTTCTCATATTTCTTCTCTCTATGTTTCTTACAGCAACAGAAGACAAGAAAAGCCAGTACAGAAAGACCCAGTAGAGTTCCTATAATAGCTCCAGCAATTATACCAGCTGTATTTATAGCTAGAATAGATAAATAACAATACTGTGTGTTAAGTGCCAAATTTATATGACCAACTTCTTTTCTCTCAACTCAACATTAAAAACAGTATGTTTCCACATGATCCAGGTTAACAGTGTATCACTGAATCAGAGAGAGTATGCTTCAATCACATGCATTTAAAACAATAATAAGAGTTACATACAATTCTGCATAAAAAGCAACAGTTTGGGAAGTAAAGACTCGAAGTGGCAACCATCAGTTACACAACAGGTTGGGTTTTTTTAACCTTTTAGGAGTGTAGAGAAACAAGATTATTCAGTTTTAATACACAAAACACTATGTGACCGTTACACAGCAAACACTTACGAGGGGTGACATTCAGCTCAACAGAACATTCATCCGTGCCAACTCTGTTTGAGGCAACACAACTGTATGTACCAGAATAGTCTTGAGAGGCATTTTTCAACAGAAGTTCCCCTGTATTTTTATCTACAAACAACAGAAGGTAAAGGTTTACCATTTTCCAAAGTTTAATTCCGTATTCAATACTACAGAATTATTAATCCAACACATAGATGAAATCTTAACTAAAAAATGCCGTATTAAAAATACCCAAACAAAAACAAAAGTCTATTGTGCTGCAAAATTTGTATTTGCAAATATTTGTAAAAGCCTTTTGCCTTGTTAGAAATTTATTCCTCAGCATTTGACTTTAATATTAAGCCAACAGACTAATTGCTCTGTCAACGGAAAGGAACAGATGCTTGAAGTGGCAAATTCTCTCATCCTAACATAGAATTCTAAAATACAAAAGATTAACCGCATCCCAGAAGTACCTCCTTCTCTTTTCTCTGTCTAAATCGATTCTACACAACCAGCTCAGGTGCCTGCAGAACCCATGTTCAACATGGATCTAACCTAAACACTGCACTCCAATGGGTCATCAATTAAGTCTAGCTATGCTGACAAGTAGGAGACATGAACCAGTGAAAACAAAGAGTATTCCCCCAGGGCTTCCAAAGCCATCGAGAGCTACCTTTGTGAGATTCTACTACATCAACTTCAAATGGTTTGCATGCTTGAATTGCTAACAGATTTGCCATCAGCACTGCAAGAGACTACATCACAGGAACAAAGCATCACACAAATACTTAGCTCCTCCTGCTGAGAGTCTTGAGAACAAGTTCAGCGTCCCCAAGCCTATATTCACAAAGCAAACATTGTTTTATCGAGTTACACGCCACTTTTGCATACTCCCTCAGTCATTCTTGTCCAGCACTGAACCTGTCAATTGATTTTTTTGTTACCACGAGACAAATTTGGGATGTGGAGAAAGAAGGGGAATAACAACAGAAGCTTAAGATCTTGAATGGTACAGAGAAGGACATTAGTGATCAACTGTTCACTGTCAAAACAATAAATAAGAGATATCAAACAGCACTAGCATGAGGCAAGATCAAAATGAAGAACAGTACAAGGTTCTTCATATGTAGCTGATTTTGAGAGATCTGTGTTCTAAGATATCAACAGATTCTAATAGACAACAAAAATTTAAAGGAGACTGGAGAAGTTCACAGAAGTCAGTTTTTGTTTGTTTTAAATCAATTAAACTGAAACCACATCTGAATTTCCTGAGGCATAAGTTAAGGAAGGATAGGAGACCTCTATGAGGAAGAACCACACAAACTCTTAACTCCCTCTCCCCTAGACATTCACTTTGGCTACTTTTAGACACATGATACCACTTTGTCCTATACGCCTTGCACAACCTGAGTTAAAATGTGTCTACTTGTAAGCAGATTCTTAAACTGCTTCATCTGCAAGGAAAACGCACCATCTTGAGCTTTAAGGTTTCCATAACTAGAAAGAAGATCAAAAAGAATTGGTTTTGAGCAGTACTTTTCCAAAAAAATATTCTGGAATAACTTTCACAAAGCCAAAACTCACAAATTAACCTTCTATAATTAAGGTCTCACAATAAAAATCCAGTACCACCACTATAATAATTTGGGATCCATCAGTCAAAATTCATAACATATAACTCTTTCCTGGATGTCAGCTCTTGCAAGAAGAGGTAAGCATTCTCTTCTGCTTTACTCTGGACAGCTTTTCTTCTAAAGACTTGTACCCCTTCATTAAGGAAGAAGTTCTGTCACTTGATCAGAAAGTGAAGACCTCAGTTCAATCTCTAATAAAATTCAAGCTTTTTATCTCCACTTCCCTGAAAGCAGCTCTAACCACTAGACTCTGTTCTGACTTTTCCCCACTGTCCACCTGAGCACAAAACCAGCCGACATCACCAAGCAAGAGAACTCACAACACTCAGGCACAGATGTGCATGATTCTGCAGCCCTAATGGTAAGAATCTCAATTTAAAGCTTGAAACATTTTCCACTACAAATTTAAAAAACAAACAAACCAACCAACCAAAACCAAAAAAAAACCCACACAACTTGTTTCAAGGTCAGTTTTATTATCTAGTGAGAGGGTAGAAATGACACTTATCTTGACTGCTCGATACTAAAATTAAGCATGAGATGCTCACAGGCCAAGATAAGCCAAAAATACAAATGCTATCTTTCTTAAGTATTTCAGAATAATAAAGAAAGTTTGACAGTACTCAGCATGGAAGTGGCAGGAAGCTCCTGTGTGCCAGATACTCTTCTCCAGTCATAAGACAAAAGTGGGGATCCTTCTTGTGATGCACATTTCAACATAACGTCTTTTCCAATCTCCTGTGATCCTTCAATGGAACACTTAGTTCTTGCTGGCTTTACTAATAAACAAAGTATTATTGAATTAATAATAGTCACAATAAAAATGCTTACCAATTGTGTTCTAGTAGGTCAGTCCATTTTGCTAAAGACAAAGCTTGTGCAACAAACCATTTCTATGCATGGGAAGATTTTCTATGAAATACAAGCCACATGTAGAATTTCTTTTAAATGCTCATTATTCTGAATATTATTCCCTTCATCCCCCAGAACAGAATGATGTCCACCTCCTGCAAAGTCTCAATAATGGACGCATCATCATAGATTCAGTAAGACTTTGCCCGACAGAAGTTTTCATTTTATATATCAAATATAGGATGGAATAAACACATAAAAAGTGTCACTGAAAATTCAAGAAAAACATGATCTTACCAAGTACAGTCAACTGTATTTTTTGGCTTTGAACTCCAGGAGCCTTCTTCACTTTGCACTGGTATGTGCCAGTGTCTGCTGACTTTAAATTCAGGATATCCAATGAACCATCACCAGATCTGGGATCAGGATTAGTAAACTGCATCCGCCCAGTCATAGAAGCATAATAATGATTATAAATCCTGTCTACTGCATACATAATTATCTATCAAGAAAAAAGAAATATGATTCAGAAATCCACTTGGCATTTAAACATTCAACATAATTTGGTATCTTCAGATTCTTGACAGTTTCTTTCTACTGCTTTAAATAATCCCAGAGGCATGTCATAGCTAAATATCTCAATCTTCAAAACATCACACACAGTACTCTAATGAACACTCTAATCAAACACCTATCCAAGTAATAGCACATCAGCATTGACTTCTAAGGGAAAGAAAACTGTCTAAAATTGCTCTAACCTTCATTCGTTCTGTCAAGCCTCTCTACTAAAAGGAGTCATCTTTTTGATAAGGCTTCTGAAGAAAAGAAGGAGTTAATAATGAAAAGAGTTAATGTATTTAAAATCAAATTCCCATAAATCAGTTTTCAATCAGGAAAATAATGCAGGTACAAATGCATAGTTTATTTCCCGTAACTGAAGCATTTTTAATTTTAGAGTTCTCCTTTAGAAGACAAGTTTATAGTGAGAAATTTCTTCACATTTCGCACTTAAATCTGCTATACCAAAACTTCTACTATATTTCATATGACTGGTGCTTCAAAGTAATTTAAGATCACAAGCAATCCCAACCTGAAAAGGTGGAAGTCAGTAACAAAGTTCATACATTGACCTACTCAAACAACTGAATTAACACTGTCCAAAAAAGTCTCTACTTACTATTTGTTCCTTCTTTTGATTATCTGCTGGTATCAATACCCACTCAATATCTAGCGGGCCTTCATCTTCTTCTGAGAGTACAAAAGTACATGGCAGCGTAACTTTCTCTCCTTGTGCTTTTTCAAACATTGATTGGTCAACTGAAGTTATGCTTAGGCTTCTTGTTAGACCTATAAAAATATATTTTTGTTTTAAAAACACTTAGCATGTAGTTTTCACTGTAAGTGTTCTGTTATATATTGGTATATATTCAAATCCATCATATACTTTTCCCGTATTGAAATCATGTCATTAATCGGACTTGTCACTGCTTAAGAGATCCTGTGCAGTATGCTGCTGAACACACTGCAAAGACGTGTACTGTTCATTTGGAATCATATCCAACAGGCAGTTACATCTTTCAAACCATACAATTTTTTTGTACAATTCAAGTCCCATACGAAGCTAAATAAATCAAAATTTTCAGCAGCAGGTTTTTCAAGTTATTAGAAAATCACCCTACCACTACTCCCTCATTGGTAAAATGAGAGCATGGAACAGTGATGAAGTCTGCCAGCACAGACAAAATTATTGTGAAGTCTTGGGTTAGATCAAGTTAAGTTACTCTGCCTTGAAGTCTAAGGGCTGTTCTATCTACAGGGAGTGAACAAATGAATCCTTTGCAAAAATCTCAATGAGTTTTTAGATTTGTTCACCCTTTCTGCTTGTCTTACTCCTCAAAAAAATACTGTGTAATCCTTATCTGCATGCCTCTAAGCAAAACATATTTCTAAACAACAAATTTTCCTCAATTCAACCCTGCAAAAGAATCCATATAGTGACCCAAACAGATTTACTCAAAGGGCCTGAAGCAAGATTCCCCCTTTTTTACAACAAACATAGGCTTCCCTCATCACGTGAATAGACCCGTACATCGCAATCAGGAAGAGGAAAGCTCCATTTGCTCTTTACAGAAACAGGCTTGGCATTTGTACATCCACTGTTTTGTCTACCTTGCTGGGTACCTAGCTCAGATTTTCACAGACACTTTATGTGTGTAGGTTGCTGCCCATCATAGCTAGACAGTCACACAGATGTTACCACAGCCACAACAGATGCAAGGCTGCAAGAGTGGCCAGTGTGAAGACGACAGATCGTTTTGGTGCATCTATATAATCGTGGCCTCAGATGAAATAAAATTAAAAATTAATATAAACAGTGCATTTAAGCTCTAACTTGCACTTCTACGCTAGCTCAAGTTATTATCTAACTTGCACTTCTCCACATCATAGAGAAGCTCTAGTGCATTTCTGCAGTAGATCAGACTGCAACAGCTATCCTTCTACCTTACTAAAATTTTGCTCTGCATCAAGTCTTTGGATTCTTTTCCAGATGTCAAAACAAAGGGATCTTTAGGAGGTATTTTTTAAAAAAAAAAAAAAAAAATCATTCAGAAAGCAAAAGCACCTGACATACTGAATTTCAGACAAAAGCCTGCAAGAAAAGACCTTCACAATTGTTAATAACAAACACACAGTTACAAATCAGGTAGCATTATTTTGCTTCCTGCCATTCACGGTATTACTTTGCATGGCAATACCTTCATTCCAGAAAAAAAACAAGAAACATCAATCTGAGGAACAAAAGAAATTTAGGTGCAATCTTTCTTACCAATCCATGTACATCTTTTCAAAGATAATTTAAAAGGTTTGTATCACCTCTTTTTTGACCACAGTAAACATACCTGAGCAACTAATTCTCTGTTATTATGTTGAATTACTACTATTTCCTAAATGATACTGATCTCTCTAAATACTGGTTGACTTGCCACAGATGCTATCCCCTTCTAAAGGATCCTTTCAGATTTCCACACGTAAAACTAGCCATTCTAAATCTCTTAAAAAGGTCATTTGACAAGTGAAATATATTACAGTATAATCCTTAAGTTTGGTCAGCTTTGCATAAACAAACACAGTATTACTACTAGCCACCATCTCTAGAAATGGGCAGATTCAGAGTACATTCATGTTTCCATAAAGCACAGGAAAAAAGAATGCAAATTCCTGATCTGTTTTTCAGTGACTTCCATACTCTTCTGTCCCCCTCTCACCCACTGCCTCATTAGGGAACTGTAATACAATATCCTCAAGTTCATCTCCAAATTGCATTTCTGCATTTTCATTTTACTGTATTAAAGGAGTGCGATGGGATGTCAAGTACAGTTTAGTGACTGATGATGAAATACATTATGATGTTACTTCCTTGAAAGCCTCTGTAACCTGGGAAATTAAAAGCTTTCATTCTGAAGTAAGAGTTAATCACTGAAGCTGAAGTTCCACAACAGATGACCACAAAACATGTATTTGCTTTCCCCTCCCCACGAGGGGACCTGCTGAGGATTTCAGAAAGTGTTCAGTAATTCAGGTAAGAGGAACACAATAACATCTGCCTCTTCACAGTGAGTAACAGAATTCATACTTTGGAGATGCTACAACACATCTGTACTACTAAAAAGTGTAAAACCTCTGATTTTTAGTTGATGCCTGCTAAAACACACAACATGGCCAAAACAAACCGGACAGATGAGTATTCGTATGTTGATTTTTTTGACTAATTTTCTAAACAAACAGGACTTGTATAATCAATGTTTTATTTCTCTCCCTCTTCTGCCATTAATTGTTCATCTCCAACAATTTCAATCAAATACAAAAGCAGAAATAACAGTCCAGTGCATCCAGAAGTCCCTGAAGTTATTCATTTTTTTCCTGACATAGCTAAGAAGCATTACATTCTTCAATTATCTCTTGCCTCTTCATTGCCAGACAATTGCATGTGAGTATAACTTCAAAGTGGACGTTACACAACCTGTTTCTCCTTCAGATAGCAGAACACTGAGAAAAGGAACAAGTACACTGGAAATGAGGAAGAAAAATTATGTTAAAAGCTGGAAATACTACATTTCGGAAACACACTCCTAGGAAACTAGGCTCCAATAGTCCTGCCTATCACATGGCAGCTTGCTTAAAGTGCTTTAAAAGCCACAAATAGCAAACAGTTCACTCTGAGCTTCTACTACAGCACTCATTTCTCTGATCCAAAGCATATGAAACAACATAGTGACCATAAGCCAAATAAAAGCAGAACCCAACAGCCTCAAGTGACTTGCTGGAAATTTATCCCACATAGAAGATTGTTACAAAAATTGAAACTCTTGAAGTGTGAATAGTATGTTCACATGCATTGATTGCATGTAAACATGTCAATGGAAGATGAGGCACATGAACCTCAGGATAGCTCTCAACAATCATTCCTGCACATGAAGCTTGCAGCACACATTAGCTGATATGAGAGGTACCCAAACATTGGTCTGAGCCTTCTAAGTCTCAGAGATTTTTCGTAAATCTCAATTCCTTTCTTACTGCATGTCTCCCAACACTTCATTTGTATTATACTAGTGCTGCACAGTCTCTTTCTTACCTTAAGAACACAAGCTATAAAGCTATTTTCCACTTTCTCTTTTTTTTTTTGTCAACGTTAGAATGACAGGCAGAAGCAGCAAGCATCTCAGTTAAGGTAGGTGTCAGAGCTAGCTGGGTTTGAACTAAGCATTAACAATACGAGGGAGTGGCAGGTAATACTAGTTGGAGATTCCTTTCTGCAGAGGAGACACACACATCTGCTGCCAGATATGCTGGTGAAGGAGGTTTGGCCAGATTCAGCATGTTAAAGAGATTGCCAAGGGTTCTCTAACCCTTGGACTATTAACTATTAAACGACTACCCCTTATTACTATTATTATCACTATTGACTCCCCCTCCCCAACTATTACTATTACCTACTCACACAGGCACCCATGCTGTTAACAAAGGAGACCTGGAGCAAATCAAGAGTGACTAGAGAACTCCAGGGGCAAAGAAGGACATGGGACCCCAGGTGGCATTTGTTCTCCTTGCTCATTCATGTGAAGGGGAAAAGGCTTGTGGACACAAATCCTGCAAGTTAACAACTCGCTGCAGGACTAGCACTGCAGGCAGTGTTTTAATTTTTATGGTCGCAAGTACCCCTAAGAAATGAGGGCTGCTAAGTCAGAGATGGGATCTGCTTGACAAAGCTGGTTAGGAACATCCTCACCAAATCTGGTGGCAAGCACTTTAAATGAGAGGTCTATCAGGGAATAGTAATAAAAATTTGCAGTTAAGGGAGGGAATAGAGATTCAGACATGTTAAGTACATGGGTCAGGTTGGTGGGAGGAAGAGAGACCTTGGAAAGGATAAAACATGTTGAAAGGGGACCCACCTCAAGTACCTGTACACACAACTATGACACTGGAGTAATTGAGACATGTGGAATAGCTCACATGACTGGAGCTTTGTCATGGATGCACACAGGCGTTTTAAGAAAGCCAGGAAGGAAAGAACAGCAGGTGAATTGCCCTCTACCTGAAGGAGCAGCTGGAACACAAAAAGCTGTTCTACAAGACGGATAACAGGCTGGTTAAGAGCTTGTGGGTCAGGATTAAAGGAGAGGTCCGTATGGGCCTTTCTTACCTCAGGGTAAGAAAGCAGATTAAGTCTATTTCAGCAATTACAGAAAGTCTCTAAAATCACAGAGACTGACTACTGTGGGACACTTTAACCTCCCTGACATCTACTGGAAGGGCAACACAGCAGGACACAAACAATCTAGGAGGCTTCTGGAAGATTTCAGGGAAAAACAGATGCTAAATAGGTCAACCCATTTGATACTTTCTTGGAATTGCTTTCAACAAAAAAAGGAAGAACTTGCTGGGGATGGGATCAACGGTAGCCTTGACTGTAGTGACCATGAAACAGTGGAGTTTAAAATCCTGAAAGGAGTGAGGAAAGCACATCCAGTACAGACCCTGCACTCCAGAAGGGCAGGCTGACCTATTCCGTAGTTAGAATTCTGTAGGACCCAGTTCTGAGAGGCAAAAGAGCTCAAGAAAGCTGGCCGGTATTTAAGGACAACTGCTTCTAACCACACGAAAAGTACATCCCAACACTTGGGTAAATAAGCAGATCAATCAGCAGCTCAGCCTAAAGAGGAGGAAGCGAGAACAGTTTACCAAGGGAGGAATACAGAAACATTACCCAGGCATGCAGCGTCCCTGCTAGGGAAGTCAAAACCCAACCAAAGCTGAAAGAAGCAAGGGACTTAAGGCCAA